AGGCGGGGGCCGCTGCCTCAGCGCTGCGGCGGGGGAGGGTTGATGACGTCAGACGGCGAGCAGGTGATGTCAGGGCACGCCGGTTTGACGTCATATGGGTGCCAGGTTGTGAGGAGGGGACGCCTCGAGGCACCGCGGGGACCCAGCGACAGGAGCGTGGTTGGACCAATGATGTCATGAGCTGCATGGTGCCGTGATGTCACGGTGCGGCTTCTGGTGGGAACCCATGGTGCTGTCAGGGCTGCTGCCCGGGCGCTGGGTCTTGTGGGGGGCCCCTGTGGGCCTCTCAGTTGCTTAATGGAGAAAATGGGGCAAAAAAGTTTTTTTATTTGGGTTTTTTTTTTGTTTTTTTTTTTTGTTGTTTTTTTTTTTTGAGATAAAACACCAAGAAGGTGCAGCGTTTGCAGGACTTCAGTCCTGGAAACCTGTAGTTAGCGACAGGGAAGATGGTTGTGCTTTTGCTGTTCTTCTGTTGTTCCATCCTCTGTTTGGAAAAGTAGTATAAATGGATTTGGGGGGGAAAAAACAGTTTTGATGCTGACACAAGCACTGCGGAACGTAGGTGATCGTAGCTACAATGGGCACCCGTGTGGTCCTGCAGCCTGTTTGTGAAGCTGGGCTGGTAAGGAGCCTCAGTGCTCCAAGGCACCTGCTAATCCCTCTGTGGTCCCCAGGGAAAAGCACCTGCAGAATTCATATTCTGCAGGAAAACTTCTCGTTTTAATTTTCCTAGTATTTCTGATTGGCAGCAAACTTAAATTATCATTGGATTATAATTCCTTTTATGTGTACTTTTTGCAGACAGGATGCAGCCCTCCTGCCCTCTTAAGTTCGTAAGTTAAAAAGTAGTGAAAAATTGTTCTTGTCGCAGTTATCGCTTTAGACAAAAAGGAGCCTGTTGTGAGCAGCCTTCTGGCTGCTCCTGTTTCTCCCAGCCTCTCTGCTGAGGTGATGAGGAAGAAGGCAGGACCTGGGCTTGATTCCCCTGCATGTGAGGTGTGAGAGCGCAGGGCAGCTGTGTCTCCTTTGCAAAAGGTACACAGGCAGTTTGAGAGGAAAATGGTGGTCTGATTGAAATAATCTAATTTAACTAAATCAGCCCTAAATTAAATAATATAAGGAGCTTGATTAAACTTTACTTGGTCTTAATGCTGTTCTCCATTTAATTTCCTTTGAGTAATTGAATGTGCTTATACTATTGTTATAATTTTTACCTATATATAATCATATTCAATATTACCGATACAACCATAGTTTTGTGTGAACCTTTTCCCTGTAGCTGAAATTGAGGAAAAGTGGAACAATAGAATACTCGGTTTCTTTTTAAAAGGATAAACAAGATAATGGCTTATACTTTTTTTTTTCTTCCTTTCCAGGGATTTTTGCCAAAGATAAATTACTCTGCAGGTGAACAGAATAACCAGAAGGGTAAGTCTGACTTGATGGGCTTAAAAAAGAAGCATTTGTGAAAGAAGGCTGAATATATGGTAGTGATAATTCATCTAGTCTTGCTGTCTCTATGATAAAATTTTCAACTTTCAAAGCAAAATAATTCTTCCAGAAAACTGAGGGGAAAAAATGCATTATTTGTTCTGTGTGGGGTGCTCTTTAGTTTTTCCTTTTTTTTTTTTAATTATTATTATTATTAACGGAAAAGCCCTCGGTGGTCCCCAGAGCAGCCGGGGAGGGTAGGGAGCCCCTCAGCCAAGGCCCCGGTCGCTCGCAGGGTTTTTAGGAGCGCCCGCCCGGGGCGCGTTCCCGGATCCCCGCGTTTCCTCCCGCGTCCCCACGGAGAGCTGTTTTGGTGCTGGCCCCGCCCCTCCCGCGCCGCGGCCAATGGGCTGCGGGGCGCCGCCCCCTCC